TTTTTAAAAGTAAAACAAGTAAAAAATGAAGTAGAAATGATTGAAATAGAATATTGCCATTTTGCAACACTTACTGAATTAAGGGTGCTTTACTGATAAAAGAGGCCAACAAGACATATACTTAGTGGCCCCCCACTCTGTACAGACTCTCTTACAAAGTGCACCTGCACCTGAACATTGGCTCACCAACTCCCGCTTCACCCAGTATCAGGCTTTACTTCTAGATCAGCCCCTAAAAACCACGGCTCTAAATCCAGCTACCCTCCTCCCAGATGACAACCCAACTGAGCCTGCCCATGACTGCCTCGAAACAATCAAGACTCTCCAAGGCCTCCAGCCAGACCTGACTGATGTGCCCTGGACAGAGCCTAATGAAATGCTGTTCACTGATGGAAGCAGTTTCATCTCCAATGGAATCAGGTACGCTGGGACAGCCATGGTAACTTTAGATCAGGTCATTTGGGCTCAAGCCTTAAGCCAAAGAACATCTGCTCAAAAGGCTGAATTCATAGCCCTAAAACAGGTTTTAAAGCATGGAAAAGATAAAACTGTTAACATATATACTGACAACAGATATGCTTTTGCCACTGCCCATGTTCTCGGGGCCTTATACAAACAGAGCGGACTATTAATATCAAAAAATAGATAAATAAATAATAAAACAAAAATACTAGTCCTCCTTAAGGCCATATGGTATCCAAAAAAGAGTGGCCATCATACATTGTCCAGGGCACCAGAAAGATAACTCGTTTGAGACCCAAGGCAATGCTGCTACAGATTTGACTGCCAAAGAGGCCACATTAAAACCAGTGGGGCCATTTGACTCTTTAATAGTCGTTCCAGCACCTCAGTTGCTGCCGACTCCCCATTATACTAAAGAAGAAGTAAAACATGCTAAGATTGTAAAAGCTTCCAACAATGCCATGAATTAGAAAATTCTGCCAGAACACAGGATTTATTTGCCACAGGCTCTAGGCAGATTGCTGATTAAACAGATACATCAAGGAATACACCTTGGATCCACTGAACTTTTAAAAAATATTATTACATCCAAGATCTTGACAAAATAACAAAAGACATTGTTACCAGATATGAAATTTGTTCACAAGTAAATCCAGGGCCAAAATCAAGGCTGCCCATTGGAACTAGAATGCAAGGAACCAACCCTGGCAAACGCTGGGAAGTTGACTTCGCTGAGGTAAAACCCGGATAATATGGGTATCGCTACCTTTTGGTGTTCATAGACACTTTTTCTGGATGGGTAGAAGCCTTTCCTACCCAAACTGAAACCGCTCAGATAACGCTAAAAAAATTGTTACGGGCCGGCCCAGTGGCGCACTGGATAGTGCGCCGCTTGGGAAGCGCGGTGGCGCTCCCGTCCGAGGGTTCGGATCCCATATGCAGACCGGTTCCCGCTCACTGGCTGAGCGAGGCGCGGGAGCAACGCCGAGGCTTGCGATCCCGTTGCCGGTCCCCGGTCCGGTACGGGGGCAACACTGAGGGTTGCGATCCGTTGCCGGACACGGAAAAAAAAAAAAAAAAAAAATTGTTACAAGAAATTGTCCCCAGATTTGGCCTACCTGTAATCTTGGGGTCTGACAAAGGCCCAGCTTTCACAGTCCAAATTTCCCAATTATTAGCTAAAACATTACAAATAAATTGGAATTTACATTTATTTATAGGCCATAAAGTTCAGGACAGGTAGAATGAATGAATCAGACTTTAAAAGAAACACCTACCAAATTAAAACTAGAGACTGGTGAGAACTGGGTGAGCTTTCCCTTTGCCCTCCTAAGGGCTAAATACACCCCCTACATACAAGGAATTATACCCTCTCTGTTGTCCCACCTCAGAGATGATAGACTTGCTAAAATCACTAACCATAACCTTCTTCAGTCTGTACCAGATTCACCCCTTGGTCAGAGAGGCCTACCCTCCGACAAAAGCAATTGGTCAATTCTGCAAAAAGGCCTCCTGGAATTTGAGAGGGGTTACATTGAATCTATCGATCAATTTGGGAAAAATTGACATCTTAACAATATTGTCTTCTAGTTCACGAACATGAAATGTCTCTGCATTTATTTAGATTGTCTTTAATTTCTATTAGCAGTATGCTGTAGTTTTCAACAGACAAGTCTTCCATGCTTTTGTTAAATTTGTTCATAAACATTTTATTCTCTTCAATGCTATTATGAATGAAATCGTTAAGTTCATTTTCAGACTGTTTATTGCTAGTATATAGAAGTAAAATTGCTTTTTTCCAAACATGTTTAGTTCTAGTAGCTTTTTGTATGGATTCCTCAGTATTTTCTACACACAGGACCATACCATCTATAGATAAAGACAGTTTTACTTGTTCCTTCATTGTCATAAGCAGACTGGCTAGCATACATTGCTGGCCCCATACAATGCTGCATAAAAACAGCAAGAATGGGCATGCTTGCCTTATTCCTCAGTTTATGGAGAAAGCACCCAGTTTTTCACCATTAAGTATGATGTTAGCTGTGGGCTTTTTGTAGAGGCATTTTATTAGATTGAGAAAGGTGCTTTCTATTCCTAGTTTATTGAGAGTTTTTTTCAATTAAATAACAATTTAAAAATGTAAAGTGCTTTGATAAAAGGATTTACACCAAGTGGTAAATCTGACAGTGTTGTAAAAAGTTTATTTTTTCCTCTTTGCTGTGGCCATTGTGTCCTACACAGAGGCTGGGCCTATCTGAATGCACAGCAGCAGCTGCACCCATATATGATCCACACAATCAGACTAACAAGGTAGATTATATATGGCGCTAGGAAAACCTGTTGTTTCTATACCAACCATTCGGGTGTTATTAGAGACAGCCTTGCATTAGTCAGAAAACACATTTAAATAGAGAAAAGTCATATAGTAATAATAAAAATTGGTTTGAAAATCTTTTTTCCCGGTCACCTTGGTTAACAAACAATCAGTCAAAATCCTTGTCTTACGTACTTAAGTACAACAAATTAAGTACCAATGAATCAATGATTTGATTCCTTCCTAAAGAGAAGTTGGGAATGAAATAGAGCTCCCTACACCCTCATAATGTATGCTGCTTCTGTAAAATTGCTTGCTTAACCTAAGTAACTCCATTTTGCCCCCTGTCTGACCTGCAGATTATCCCCCCTTCTGCATGAGAAACCATTGACCTTTTCATAGAAACAAAAAACAATTATATAGAAGCAGGAGCCATACACAGTGAATTATTACATGGGAACAGAAACCATACACAATGAAAACTTGTATGATTGATTGCTCGAACAGCTCATTCTTGGCTTCTGAGACCTAGCTCCCTAGCTTGCTTTGTGCAGCTGGGCAAACCCGTGTGCCAACGGGATGTAGTTTTTGCCTTTAAAACCCCACAAGACCAAAGCCCAATGCCGCTCTTCCTTGGTTGCACCTTGGGAGATGGACACTGGCCAGCTGGAGTGAATAGACTGCCCTTTTCTGCATGAGTGGCATGTAAGTGCATTTCTTATGGGAGGGTGCCTCACAACACTACATATCAGCAGTGTCTGAAACCACAAAAAGAGAAACAACCAGATAATACATGCTTTCTGCTGAAAGAATACTACCACCAATTTGCCAAAGGAATCAAACTATATGAATCCAGCTACCAATCTGCAGGAAATAATGAGGACAGAACTTGTTAAACTGGACCATGAGTGTTATTCAGTCAACAATATCTAGACTATGGAAAACTCTATAGATCAAATAACCCCAGTTCTGCAACAGATAAATTGTAAAGAAAATAAAGGGATAAAAGAGGCATCTATAGACTAAAAGAGACTTATCAAATTATAAAATGTGCAAGATTCAATTATAATGTCTAAGGATGAACATTTAGGTGATATAAATATAAAGAAATGTGAGGAAGTAATTACTACAAAAGTCAGGCTACTGTTACTGATGAAAGACATGAGAAAGTTATGATTGCAACAGACACATGGAGGGGCTTCCTGGGTAGCTGGAAATGTTCTATTTCTTGATTTGGATGGCTGGGTGGTAATTATGAGTGCTCCCTTATATAATTTATTAAGCTACGCATTTGTTTCACGTGGTTTTATTTAGCTTGTGAAGTTGATTTTTGAGTTCAAGTGCAAATACACTTATGCCTACTAAATTATATTCAACTTATATCTCTAGATTCTTGAGATGCTTTTGGATTGTTATCATGCTACCCAACATGACTGCATCCCTCTGGGCTTAACACTACCCACAAATTCAGAAGCAAAGAATCTTCACCAAAACAACTAATAAAAAAAAGGAAGTTGAAAACCTTAATTCTACATCTTAACTGGGGTGTTACTTGCACAGGTGTATACATTCATCAAAACTCACCAGACTGTGAATTCACGCCTTAAACTAGGTTCATACCTTCTTCACATTTGTTTGTTTATTTTGCCTTTCCTACCAGCAGGATGGCTGGGACTCATTGTGACTCATCCTCAATCATGCAAACGACCCCCAGAAGATGAGGGAGCAACTTGTTGGAAGGAACCTGAGCCCTGCATGACCGTTTAGGGTATAGCTGTTTGCTGACTGGGAACATTTACCTATAACTGTTAGGTGAGAGAGAAGCAAACTTATTTCATTTTTAAGCCACAGTATTGCTGGGTGTCTTTGTAGCAGCAGTGTAGTTTATTACCCTAACTAATATCCTGAGTGTCACTAATTCAAAAGCATTTAGGTGCCAAGAAGGGAACATAAATACACGAAGCAGCAGGAGTAAGACAGAACTGTGATGAGTTAGACAATACGAACTGTCCTAAAAGCACCAAAATTAAAAAAAAAAAAAATTACACATACTTACAGAAAATAAAATACCTGTGGGGCCAAATTCTACCTGATGGCTATCATTTGCAACCCCTGCTTAATCAGGACAATTTGAGTAAAGCTATTCTCTCAGCTGCAAATGTACTTAATTGTCTTGTACACATTTCTTCTCTTTGTATAGAAGTACATCATAAGAGACCTAAGCAAATATTTTATTGATGTTTACATATTTTATTAATTAGGATATAAACTAAGCTGCTATAACATGGAGACTTAAAAATTCAGTGGATCAAATGAAATAGGGTTTTGTTTCTAATATACAATATGGAGGGAGATGGGTGACTTTTTTTCACAAGGTTATCCAGGGACTCAGGGACCTTCCATGTCATTGCTCCACCATCCCCTGGGTATTGTCCTCACTCCTTGGTTGGAGTTTCCTCACCACCACCAGCCTGCAAGAAAGGAAAGGAGGAAGTGGAAGAAGCAATTCAGTCGCATGGCCACACCCAGCCACAGTGTGGCTCACTTAGTCTATTTAGGTAAAATACTCTACTTCCAGCTAAAATTCAGGGGGGTTCTTTCAATAAAAAGATGGAGAGAACGTTTATTGGGGAACAACTTAGCAGTCTCTCTCACATATACACAAGTCTAGTAAATTTCTGACTAACAGTGTAACCTGAGGGAACCAGAGGGATGGTCTGACATGATTTATTCTTCAATAATCTCTGGTGGATTCTGGTGGTCCTTGCTTTCTACTAGGTGCTTACAGCCAGACTTTGAGTAACCTGGCCTAGACCCTCACTCAGAATCACCGCCAGCAGTAATGACCTCTTTTGGCTTTGGAAAACTATATTTCAATTATATCTTTTTCCATCTTCCTGGAGCACTGTTACTCCTCAGGAATCTTCAGAGATCAACACCTTTATGACTTCCTTCTCAACCACTCCTGCTGCCATAAAATATAATTCTTACAGGGCAAGAGACAGAAAGAGAAAAAGTAAAGAACCATTTTAACTAGTCCAGTAAATAAGCAAAGAGAGAGTTAGAAAATAAAAAAGGATAATTAAAATTCATTTTTGAGAAAAGTTTAGCCACATCAAGAAAAAGCTTTAAATCGCTTATTAAGAAGACAAATAATGGCTTTATGTCAATCTCTATGCACAGACATCTATTGGGTTTTATTTTATTGTATTATCATTTAAGGTAACTAGAATTGCAAACATCAGCTTCTCTGAATAATCACTACTAAGTCTTCCAAAAGAAAGGCAAGGGCTATAATCCTAGTCTAAATTTTTGGTTGTCTTCCCAGTTAGATGTCAAAACAGTAGCTTCCTTTGGGATAACTATTCTTCTTTACTCTACTGAAGAGCCTTTTTAGTGGTTGATGCTGAATAATTATATATCATGCTTGACTTTCCTTTTATATAATATGAAAATTTTTATTTTCTTATTCTCTATGGTAACTGCTAAAATACTTCAAGCTGTTTCTTTCCTCTCTTAAGTATGTATCTATTTTCCTTGGGGGGAAATCTGGAAATATACAAAGGCAGAGATAGCGTGTGCAGTTTAGGTTAACAGAAACATACATTTCAAGCTTTATCGCTCAATATCCCCTCCACACTTAATCCACATCAAGTCAGCTTGCCTTTTCCTGAAACCCGTATATATTTTTATACCCCGTGACTTTCCTGGTGCTGTTTACTTGACAGGGAATGTTCTTTCCTCCTCTTTCATTTTCAGGCTATTGAAATTGATTCTCACTTACCCTTCACTGTCAGCTCCAAATCCACCTCCATCATGATGCTTGCCCTGATCATCCAGACAGAATCAAGTGTTCCTGTTTTAGCTATGGAATAGCTGCTCACCATTAATTTTTTAAAGAGAATATGTGCAATTGTATTTTTTTAATTTAAAAAAAAAACTTCATAGTTTTCACACTTACACTGCATCCAAGATTATTCTTTTTCATCAGGTTACCACTTTTGTGGTCACTATCTGTCGGTATGCTTCCTTTCCTGAAATTTAGCCATAAGGTAAATTGATTCTTCTAGAACAGCAAGAAACCCCAGGCTAGCTGATAGAAAATATCAGGGTCTGGCAGACAGCTCAGCAAGGAAGCATTTTAGTTCCTCCCCTAGTCCTATCCTTAGTTGGTTTTTCACCCTAGAAGCGGTCCCATAAGTATCATAAGGGACAGCAGATCACTGTCTCCATAACTCTCAGTCCTGTGACCTTGGAAAAGAGGAAGCCTACTTGAGAAAGCTGCAAAGCCATGTCGGTGGGGCAGAGTTGACAGCTGACAGCCAGCTGAACCCACCCAGCAACACACTTTCCACTTCCCAAGTACCGTTTCCCACACACTACCATGTGGGGCCCAATTAGATAAGTCCTTTTGCTCAAATTATCTTCTTCTATATATATTTAGAAAACTGTAATATTTATCTGATTTTGCTGATTTTATCAGTAAAAAACACTCATTTACAGATCTATCTGGCTGATGCTGATCATGTTTGATAACATTCAAAAAGTCACTTGTTTATTTTCATTATCTCATTTCTTCCAAACCATAATAACTCCTCTGGGAGGGACAACATCTGCTTCTGCAAGAGGATAGCTGCAGCCTTCTGCTGGTTTTCTCCCGGCTTTAGACTCCAGAGAGATTAGCACTTCCCCAACCTTTTGGATTCCCTAAATTTCTGTATAGAGATTTATGAAAAAGAGGATTGTAAAGCCAAGGTATCAATTAGATACCAGAATCCTGTGAAAGAAAAACATGAGCCTAAGAGGAAGTACTGAAAAGGGAAAAGAAACAAGGAAGATGAAGGGAGGGGTACAAAGACCTTTAAAATGTAGTAAATTATCTCCTCAGGGATTAAAAATTCTATAATAAATATTAAATTTTTTCTGCTCCCAAACATTTAGGTGATTTACTGTTAAAATATTAATATCGTGGTACTCTAAATTGAGACTAACTTAAATTTCAGGCGTTTAGATTTAGAGTTCAATTCATAGCTTATTAAAGTGCAGAGAGTGTTAAACATAATTCTCTAATGGACTTGTAACTATTTCCCAAAGCTCTGGAGCACACATGCTAAATGGGCCAATTAATATCCAAATTTCATAACGTACATCAGCACTATAAACAATTAGTACTGAAAAAACTGATCCCCTTTCTGATGATAAAACCATACTAGACATTTAGCAAACAATCACTGAGGGCCTACTGAGGAAGGGACGTGGGAGGGAGGGGGGAAAGGATGAGGAGGGGAATGCAAGTGGGGGGAGGAAAAGTAAGGAAATTAACAAAATGCAGTACCTGCTGTCAAAAGGTGTTTGTAACCTGATGAGGGTTGGGCGGAGACATGGAGGAAGAGAGAAGTGCTGTGGTAGCTGACAATTGCATGCTGACAGTAGAAATAGGTAGCCTACAGTTATTAAACTGCAGAGTCAGTTTTTTATAAAGCCCAGAATCTAGGGTCTTTCTGCACAGACCCAACTGAGGAGTTTAGATCAGCAGCTAAGTTTATCCTAGGGCCTGTAATATTTCTATTTCCTGATCACAAAGTAGATAAAAATCCAAGTGTAAAAACAGGTTTCATTCTGCTGCTGCTTAGGGAGCTTTTTTAGGCTAAGAGTTCTTTGCACTTCAAAAGAAGCTTCACAACTTGAAAGGCTGACAGGGTCCGGAACAGGGATCCACAGTCGGGAGATGGAGTGTCATCACAGCTTCATCACTTAGAAGCCATAAAGCCTTGAGCACCTCCCCCTCACCTCTCTGAGCTTCAAAAGAGGAAATGCACAAAAGCTGTTTGTATCCTATAAAGGTAGAAGCAAAGGTCAGTTTGTGTTACTATTGTTCCCTTAAAGGATGATGAAAAGGGTTCAGATTAAGACTATTCACCAAAATCACACACTACACTAGAGATAAGACCCAGAAAGAATCCAAACTTTACTTCCTCATTAGGCAGCCCCTCTTGAACTGAGCTCTAGTCCACAGTTCTACTTCGTCCTGTAACTGTCCAGCTTCACTTCCAGGCACACCCCTCACACTCAGCTACATCAGCCACTGCTAAAACATTAACATACTCCAGCCCCCTCATGACTGTGCAAGGTCCCTCCTTGAGTCTCAGTGCCCTAAACCTGGCACTTAGCTCACCCCCCTAAGGTAACTCTCCTTATTGTATTACTGGATAGACCGCTTCCTCAATAGACTGGGGACTCTTTGAAGACAGAGACCATGCATTATTAATCTTTCTGACCATGTCAGAGTAACTTGTAAAGATGGACATGGTTTACTGAATGAACGGGTGATTTTTCTGCCTACAAAAGAACAGAAATGTGACATACTCCCACTATGCACTTATCTGCTTTCCCCACAGTGCTGTTGCTCTCAATACATTTTTATAACAGTTTTATTGAGATATAATTCACACACCATGAAGTTCACACAGTTAAAGTGTACAATACAGTGGTTTTTAGAATATTCAAAGTTGTGCATCCATCACCACTGTCAAATTGCAGAACATTCTCAGCACCTTAAAAAGAAAACCCCAAACCAACTCCTCATTTCCCCTTCCCCCCTAGCAACGACCCATCTACTTATCTCCATGGATTTTTCAATAATTTCTTGCTCTACGGTATACCACAGTATTACATATTAGAATGCATCTCTTCACATGACTAAAAACATAAAATCTGAGGCAGCTTTCATTTAGCAGAGTAGTATAGAATCAGTTTCCTACCAGCTCTATGACATTGGACAAGTTGTTTAACTGGATTTAGCTTCTTCATAAGATGAAGTTTAGAAGGTGTGTAAAGGCATCTTCAGGTTAAAAAATGTCTGTATAAATAGGATTTCACGCCCCAGCTGCTGCGGCCACTGCCCTCCCCGGGAGCGGCCCTAGAGAAGATGTTTTCTCTTTTTTCTTTTCTTTTGGGGCGTCTATTTATCTCTTGGCTGGCATCGGACAGAGAAACAGCCGAGCCCGGGAGCGGAGGCTCAGCGCTCCGGTTCCCGCAGGAAGCCTCGCCCAGCGGGGACCGCACCCTCCGGCGGCGGCCCTGGGGAGGCGAGAGGGCGCCGGCCGCGAGGCCGCGGGCAGCGCG